GCTCCACACCTCTTTTTGCTCCTCCCCATTGCGTTCTGGCTCTAGTTCTTTCACTGGGTACCTGTGGGACTAAGTGGTAAACGCAGGCCTGTGTTTCTTCCCGAAATCCTTGGACAGTCATCGCCACACAGTGAGGGTCCACGTCAGAGGCTGAAACCCATCCCTGGTTCCACGGCAAGAAGAGACCCAAAGAGATCTCTGGGACGGAGCCCCCCGTGAGTGGGGTTCATGCTTTTTCACAGAGTTCTCTTCTGCCACCATGTGGGGACACGACCAGAAGGTGCCATCTGTGAACCAGAGTCCTCACCAGACTCACTGGTGGCCCCTTGGCCCAGACCTTCCTGTTTAGAAGCCTCCTAGATGTTCTGCTGTTCTGCTGTTATAGCAGCCCCAATAACTGAGACGGTTCCGCTTGACTCATTAAGTCAGCCAAGGACATTAGGGTCTCCATCGTCTCCCTTATCTTTTCCCTTCAGTTTCCAAGCGTCGCTAGCTCCGTCTTTATTCCACCATTGAGCGTGTCACATATTTTTATCACATATTTAGCCCCCTTCACAATCGAGACTTTTCTTTGGGTCGCAGCTCGATTCTGAACATTGAAGCAGGTGAGCAGCGTCTGCATTACGCTGGGCTTTGAAATGTTGTTGCTGCCGAACACTGGGGTGACCCGGTTCTATCTTTTCTCCCTGGGTTCACGGTGTCAGCTCCTTTTCTACCAGAAATAGAAAGAACCCGCTGGAAAGTCAGGTTTCCGATGGCCTCTCTTTTCTTCTGTTCTCTCCGTCTTGCCCACAGTGTCCTAGTCATGCTGAATATTCCAACCATGATTTCCTGGTGCAATTTATTTTTAAATTTTCTTCCTGGGGTTTCTATGGCCTCTTTATTCTTCTTGATCAGAGTCAACGTGTATTTTCCGTGGGCTCAAAGCGGCCTGACCCTCTATTGCCTGGGATCGCACTCTCTTTCTTCCCAGTTTGATTTTTATCATTCTATAGCTGGCCTGTTGTTCTCTCTGGAAGCTTCTTGGATCCTTTCATCTTTTGTGTCCAAAAATTCCACAAAAATGTGGCTGACTTAAAAAAAAAATCATATTGCTGCAAATGCAAGGTGCACCTCCAATCTGAATACTTCTGAATCCCAGAGCCTTGAGAAATTATCTTCTATTATTTTACTGAAAATTTCTTCTCTATTATTTTTCCTGCTTGGTTGAATGTGCACGTCTTTACCTTTGACCCATAGTTTTCATTTTTTACAGTGAAGGTGTTTGACTTTCTAGCATGCTTTCAATGTATTCTTTTAGTATTTTTTGAATTTTAAACTATTTGATGTTCTTTTCATAGTGTCTTGCTTTCCGTCCTAGAGGGGTGTTTTCTTCTGGTGGCCTGGCCATATTGTGTTTGAGCATCCTAGGGGACTTCTGAGTGCTCCCGCCCCTGGGGAGCTCATCCTAACTTCCCAGGCCTCTCGTGGCGCTGGTCGTGTGCTCTCGCCTGGGGGCTTGAGACCACCCGGAGCTGGCCAGCGGCTCTCCTCCTGCCTCTCGCTGGAGCCACACTAGCATTTCTGTATGCTGGAGGCTGGGGTTTGAGGAACGCAGCTGCTTCCACGTGGCTGCTACACACACGCACACATACACACACAGGCATGGTCTCACACACACACACACACACACA